AAAAGCAAAGATTGAGTGTTATTGATGATGAGGTGTTCACAAACTACAGCAAGGTCTCACGGGATAGCAACAGGGATATGTGACAGCTTTCTCCTGATGGGTGTCAAAATCTTTAGGTTAATAATAAATAAATGTATGCTTATTATGTGTTCAGTACTTTACACAGTAGAGCTTTACACACATCAGCTAAGAAAAGCTCATGACTCTACGATAGTTCCTCCTGCCCACATAGCCGAACATACGCTTCTAAAAATTGTTCTGTGGAGCTGTTAGACAGCAGTATGAATACCCGAGCCTTTGGATGTGTCATCAAGATGACATCTGAAATAACAAGCTGCTTGTCCAACCTGCCTCCTCCCAACTGCTGTCATCTTGAAGGTTCATCTGTCACAGGGCTCTGGGTTGTAATAGCTCTGGAAAGCCAGGAGATGCATGTAGCCCCAGATCTGCCAGCTTCTCTCCAACCCACCTACATCCTCTCTTTATGCTGAAATGCAGAAAAAAACATAGATTGCATCAGGAGTTCTTTCCCACCAGCCACCCCTCAGGCCAACCGCTGCTGCTTTTCTGCTCTTCCTCTCTTCTCCACTTGTCCCACATACTTGGAAATTTTGCAATATAGGCATGAATAATAATAACAACATAGATTAATATTTCAGTTTGTTAATGCCTGTGCAGCATTTCAACAAGTTCAAGATGTTCTAGCACGTCCATCAGGTATCCATAATCTAAAAACAGGATAATGGGATATATTCTGTGTTTTGCAAATTCCTCTTTTTGTTGTATGGGCTCCCTGTTACGGTGGCTGGCTCCAGAAAACTGCTGTAATAATTCAGCACAGGCTTTGGGATTGTGGTTTGTTCTGATGGCCACTATTATTTATGTCATGCACACCACATTTTTAGAACCATATTGCTTTTGCTCATAAAAAACCACATGGCTATAAATCCAAAGTGTTAAAGTGTCTCCAAGGCTAGAACTTAAAATAAATCTCGAGTCAGTAGTATTCCCAGTGTCAGAGGACTTAGGTGACAGCAGACTCCTTTCATAAGGTTATTTTCTTTTTTTATTGTATCCAGACTGGTTCTCTAAACACTGAAATTGTGGGCAATGGTCATTTTGGGGCATGAGAGAGCTGAGTGACTGTCAGTTCTGCCAAAGCTAATGGCTCAGAATGCATCTGTGGGAGTGTAGTCAGGAATACTAAATGCTGCAGAAAACCATGGAGAATTTACACCCTCCCTGAGATTACCTAGCTCAAGCAATGACATTTCACAGGAGGGTTTCTGATCCAGCCTCTCTGAACCACTGAACGTGATAAGTGAGCTCTGGGCCAGGAAGAGAACTGTTCATTGTGCATTTGTGCAGTGCCCAGCGCCGCAGTGCCCAGGCTCGAGTGGAAAAGATTGCTGCTTTGGAAAGAACAAAGTAGGCAGCGTAGCATTCATGCACCAAGTCTGCATTACGTTAGCAGATTAAGCTACAAATTCACATGTATTTCATTGCATGCAATAGATTTTGAAGAGTTCAGATAAAGGTGAAAATACTTAAAGAAAGCTAACCATTTACATTACTGCTTTCTCTCCATAGTACGTCTATTTCTACACGGAACATTTTTCAAATGACACGTTCCAAGAAATCCTGAAACATCTCTGTCAGTGTGCTGTTGACTTCCAAGAAGCAATAAGGCATGATATGTGGAGGCAAATGTTTACTGATCTCTTTCTAGATTGTGATTATGGAAAGGTAGGCAAAGCACCTAATTTCAATATGGTGATGCTTCCACTTTGGTATTTCTCTGGGTCACTGCTTTCTTTTTATTCTTCATGACTCCAGATACTCTCTTTGTGCATACTTAGCGTTATTTTAGAGAACGATAGCTGCTGCATTGTCTTCAAATTCATAGTTCTTAGACACAGAAATAGCCAATAGCATATAAGTTGATGGCTAATTAGAAGCTAAACGACCTATGTGATGACTCGGGGCTGAAGTTTGATGATTCTGGAGAAGAAATTAACCACAAACTTTACTGCTCCTGGGCATTACCTGTTCCCACAGGACCTTCAGAATGTTTGGGTGCTAATTTGTCTGTTCAGCCATACTTCAGAAAAGATAACCTGATAGAGACTGACCTTAAACTATGTGCACATTACTGCAATAATAACATATATTGAGTTAATTATGCTGCATTAATTTATACACCTTCAGGGCTTCTATCAATAAATATAACAGTTTAAATTTAAAATGCAAAACAGTCTATTTTTACGACCTCTCTGAGAAAAGTACTGTGAACTTCAGCCACAGTTTATGGGCAGGAAATTAAAATATGAGTCAGTTATAGCTCTGGAACTTGAACTCAAATGCCATAATTTGGTTTTCAGCAGCTCCAAACTCTATCAGCCTCTGAATGCACCTGCATCCCCATTAAAAAAATAAAATCTAGACTTAATAGAAAACCAGTAAACAGTAGGAGCTGAAGAATCAATGGCATAAGCTATTGCTAAAAACTTGGGCTTCATCCAAAAAGTATGGTACTTATTATGAGTAGCCTCAGTTAGCCAGTTGCTGGCTACTACACAGCAAGCAGTTGCCATAACCCTACAGTTTTATTCCCCTACATAAAATATATATTCCACCCAGCACTCCTCTCGTGATGCTTACAGCGTGCCTACCCACAATGAGCTGTGCTCGACAATGTCGTGCTAATAATGTCATTACCTCTAAGAGAATGGAATTACACAGCACATTTCAACACCAACGGTGCATTTTAGAGAATAGGAGGCAAGCTGCTGTTGCAGGGATGAGGAAAGAAATGTGTCTACTTCTCAGTTAGAAGACATTTCATTTTCCTATTGCTCTGTCAAGAAGAGCTATGATGGATCCTTCTGGGTAGAGTAATTTATAAAGCTGAGTCCTATTTGCCATACATTTTGAAAGGATTCCTTCTTTCTCTTTCATGTTTTCGTGTGACTTTCTTCCTATTATTTCTGTGGCAGTAATCACCCTCTCCATGCTACTAATCCCAGTGGAATCTCAGAGGCAAAGAGCCAGAAATACCAGCGCAACATAACAAGAGTGAGCAGCTATCAGCACAGGCGCCATCGCTGCCCAGAAAAAAAATGATCAGAGCACAAACGTGGTTGCTGTTTCTAACCTCTGAAGTAGCCTTGCTCTGCAAATTGAGTTCACTAAACTGTAGCGTGGACCATGCAGTTCTTTTAAACCCGGCCTGGTTTCTTTTGTGTAGCTCTAATAAGTCCTGCCGTACTGTACCCACGGGGAAGATAAAAGATGCAAAGTAACCCAAGGACTTCTACCACTTGAATGTGATCCATTACCTGTAGTACTCATCCTGCAGAGCACAGCAAAGCAGTTGTTTCAGTTCCTAATTTACATTTGTTTGGGAGCAGGCAGTTATTCCAGTCTGCATGAAGAGTGTGGCTGGCTGCCTCAGTGAGTTGCAATTAGGACCGGGGAGCTGAGAAAGCAGTGTTTAAATTACAGTGAAATTAGAAGGTATCCACATGATCATTATTATGATTTCAAATGCATGCATCCAGAAGGATGGCAGCTCAGCAAGAACAGCCTGGACTACACAGTGAAGCAGAAACTTTCCGAGACATTACCAGAACACAGTTGAATCATTGCTTTAATGCCCAAAAAGGCCATAGTTCTGTGAATTTTAAGCTTATTGTCTCTCTGTGTTCACGTGTATCGAATATAATTTCTTTTATACATTAGAACAGAATCTACATTTATTTTCAGGGACATTTTAAGCTCGGGATCTTTAAATGTAACTGAATTTAGCCAGAGATTACTTTTCAAACTAATAAAGTTTGAAACACTCCTGATTACCTTTCTTGCAGTACAGCAGCAGCAGGGTCTACTTTCTCACAACCTTTTTGGAGAGTCTGCTTTTCCCGTCCTGCTCACTAACAAGGGCATTGTGGTCTTCAAGATACATCACATCTCCAGAAAAACAATCAAGCGGTTAAACGCTGCCCTATCTCTGATTAAATGGCAAGTCTGGTTCAGTCTGTGCTGCTAAAGGATTTACTCACAGATCATAGCACACTGCTGAAAACAACTGAGAATCATCACCTGCCAATATCTAGGTGACAAGAAAATTGGGTCGCCAATTTTCAACTCTCCAGCCACTACAGTTGGCACTTGTTAAAAGTGAAGACGAGTTTTGAGTGGTTGTACACGCACAGATGGCTGGCTGGTATTTATGGCGGGTGTTGTACCTGTCCTGCCAAAGGGCTGATGGACAGGAAACCTTCATCACCCTCCTCAGTCACACACCAACGCAAAGCAACGTCACCTTTGCTGGTAAATTTAGGAACCCAGAATGATAACAGAAGTGGGTATAGAACACTGGAAATGGTTTTCCTGTTGTAATGCTCCTCTCTTCTATAGACCGCTTTACTGTGGCATGTTCTTCCCAAGAGATGTTGTAAGGAAAAGTGCCCTGAAATAACAGAGACCTCTGGTAGGATGGCAAATCTGTATAAATTGTAAATGTTAAAACAAGGTGGAAAATATACCCCTAATTCATCTTCAGTGATTTCTGAAAAGGAATTTACTATTTTTAACAATATAGAAAAATAAAATTATTTCATCTACATCACAAAAACCCTCTTCTAGAATCCGAGTTATCTAAATCCTCTAAGCATACTATTTTAACATGAAAAAGTATCTGAATTCCAAAACAACTTTTGTATTTTCTTTTTAATAATACCACATTCATTGATTTACCTTTTTAATAAAATAAAGCTTTGCATTACTGCTGCCAACTTCAAGGCAACCAGCAGATGACTGTGACAAGTAACAGCTGAGGAAATTTGAAGAGAAACTTAAGTGTGTGTGATGGAAATACTGAATGGAGAATCCAAATATTACACAGTGATCTGGTAACATCTTCAGAAACATGTTCTGTATATCTACTAAATGGATGCAGAACCTGATCTGATTCATTCAGCTGACAAACAAACAGCCTAAAGCAATGTTTGCATGGGAGCATGCAAGATATATGTATAGTAATGTCAAGAAGATGAAGATACTGGGAACCAGGGCCTACATCTTGTAAGTTTAGGGACAGAATTATGTGATGACATTTGCTGTTCCAAACCCACTCATGGCTGAAATTCAGCTGTAATTTCCAGCATGTTTTTTTACCAGCAGTAATTAAGTTACAGGAATCTGAAACACTAAACCTGACTGGATGACAGGATACATTTCAGTTCTGATCCCTTCCTCAGAATTTGCAAAAAGCTTTCAATTCCGTTTAGAGGAAAGGTGTTGCAGTAACAGAAAATGTGATGTATTCACGTAGTTTATTAGTTTCCTTGGGAGGCACTTCACCCGTCGGTGGTGGGTATCTCTCAGTTGTTTTAAATCCTCTGTTCCTAAATGTTGATGCCATTAATTACGGTTTTAGATTATAAACAATGCAGTCATTGAGCTCATTTCCAGAGAAGAGAAGCAAATTTCTTTCTTTATTTCTTCAGTGCAGGAAAAGCTCACAAGAAATTAAAAGCTTGGTGAATTTTACATCTTGCAGTTTTTAATCAAAGAGCAAATGTGAAAAGGAAATCAATAATTCAGATGGAAAGCTACTTGCTACAAATAATGAACTGAAGTAAATTTGTTCTCTAATTAACTACTATATTTCACTAATGGCAGGGAGATTACAAAGCTGGCAGGACTTAAATAATGGCAACAGGAATTAATCATAAAGTGGAAAACTTACAATCATTTAGATTTGCTTTACTTTTTAAACTCACAATTTCCTGATTGGAAATGACCCATTTCATTGTCTTTTCCTGGTTTTATTGTCCGTATACACACACCCTGAGCAAAAAGGACTTAATAAACTCTGTACTGGAACTACAGCTACCTCTCTCACCTCTTTGGTCAAATGTGTTTGCATTTTTAAAGGAAATTAGTGAGGTTGTCATAATGGTTTAGATTTTTGGACTAATTATTTTCCTAGGCAGTTGCCAATGCATAATGGTTCAAAGGAAATGATGGGGCACAAAACCAAACTACAATGTGCAGTCACTAATGTAATACAGCACAGCCTGTACTACGTGAAATACTTCCACAGTACTGTCAGGCAATCAATATCTGTCCTGAAAGTGTGAAATGTTGAAGCTTTGATCTTTACATGAAGAGCTCCTTTGGCAGAAGTGGTTACTGTAATTTGTCAAGAATATGCAAGAGGATGTGCCTGCAAAGGACTGTGTATGAGGAGGTCCAGCTAAGCCCAGAGAAGACATTTTTACCCCTATGAAATAAATACACTTCTTTAAAATTTGTACTGATCTTCTGCTAATGGATCATTTTCAGTCACAGTACTTCTTAGCTAATGGTGCCTTTGTAGTGCTACAGATGTTGATGTAAGTCCCAAGAGCCACAGACACAACCCAGTAACTGTAATCTTTTTCTCTAGGTTGGTCTCTTAGATAGACACAAAATCCTTGCCCTACTCATACACTTCTATGGCAGAAGCCCAGTGGTGGCTGAGACGGGACTCTCTAACCCAAGACAGTGTAAGTGTATGGGATGTTTCAGTTGTGGTTAAATCATTAGGAGGTCACATGAGGTTGTATAGTTAATATATGTCTTATAGGTGTTACCAGAAATGGACGTGTTGAGCCTCAGAAAGGACCCAGATGCACGCTGCGACCTATACACCATGTTTTGCAAAATGTGACGCAATGTTCAGAAATACTTCAGCATCCAAAACTTTTCCTTCCTACAAAATTCTGAAGTGCTTTTTGGAAGTAGGATTAAAAACCTCCTACTTTTTCTGAAACAATTGTTCTTTCTTACTGGGCAATATTAGAAGTTAATTTGGTGTTTACACTAAAATTTCTCCAGGAACATGGAAAGATAAAGAAAAAATACAGAGAATCATCTCCATGAAATTAAAATGTTTTTAAGTTATTGCACATTAATTAATTGCTAAGATCAAATGCAAGGCAAATTACAGCTTTCCTGCTTAGTATGGAGAATTATGAAACATCTATTTCAAAAGAAATATAGTGTTATACACAATAACAAGTGCAGTTCTCTGCAGACAAAGACATTCTTCTGAAGTTTTGTGTTTCTGGATGTATCTTTGCAGAAGGTACTTTCTGACAGTTTATATTTGCTTGGGAACACCTTTTTTATTTTCTTATGCAATACTAGAGAACATAAAACTAATGCAAACTATCAACTTAGCAATGTTTTTTCTATATTAGGGCCAATAATTGAGCTGCAAGAGATTGAGCTTATGAGTTTATGGGGAGGCCTTGATGAGCAGGAAGTTTGTGAGGAACTCAGCAAAAAGTTAGGCACAGAGATGAGTGAAGTTGAAGCTGGAGAAATTTCTGAGGAAGAAAACCAAGCAGCAGAGTCCAGTGATGCTGAGTTGAGACCGGAAAGCGAGGACACTGCCTCAGCAGTGAAAAGCACTGATTTTGAAGCTAGTGATTTGGATGGGTATATAATAGATAGTGAGAAATCCAGTTTCCTGGAAGACATCAAAACTGAGATGGAAACTGAGTCTGCAACTGCAGGCAAATCGGAGGAAGCTTTCCCTGGATCAGACGCTACTGGGCACAGTCTCAGTGGAGAAGGTGGATCTGAAAAACAGGTGGAGGAAGAGGAATTGGGCCTGAGCAGAGAGCCTGATACAGAAACAAATAGAGAAGCAGAAAATTATATCTTAGATGGAGAACCTGGTTCAGAAGGTCAAATTAGTCAGGAGGAGAAGAATTGGGTTGAAGAGTCAACCAACACAACTTCAGGACCAACACCTGAAGCTACAACCATGGCCTCCGAAGACAAAGCTGTGGCAGGCATGGATGTCATTGCTTTAAAACAGGATGCTCCGGTTGCAGAGCATCAAGAGGTTGTGGAAGAAACTCTTGCAAGAAAAGAGAGTTTTTCTAGCCAGCATGGCAGCCAGTTTGGTCAAGAGACAAGCTCAGAGACAAGACTGCAGAATGAGGACCTTCTGCAAGACCAAGGTAAAGGCAAAGCAGTCTTTATTCTGGCAGACCTTAATCTTTTTCAACATACACATTTGGACTGGTTTAACTGCAGGTGTGTTTTTAATCCAGTTCAAAACTACTGAAAACATATGGGTGAATTCTGAATACACAAGATGATAAGCTTCGATATCTTCTCAATATGGTGTTTTGTGTCAGGGTTTCAGAGTGTTCCTCTCACAGGATGCAGGTGAGTCACTCTGCTGGTGATCTGTATTCAAGGCACTGAGCAGATGCTTTAATTCGAGTAGTGACTTTCTGAAGCAGCAGCATTTTATAATAAGGAGAAACTTTATGTTCTGTTTCACTCTATAATATTAGTATAACAAGACAGGAGCCTAAGCATGTTAAATACAGGAATGACTTTTAATAGTTTTTAGACTGTGATTGCCCATAGGGAGATATATTACGGGATCATATAGCAGGATCCTTTTATTTTAATCTCTGTGTTTCCAAAGAACTGTTATACTTACTGTGTACAAAGTTGTTCTAGGAACACTGTGGTCAGGCAGCTGCATGTTTCCTAAGAGGTACTTTCTTAAACATACTAGAAGGACCAACTTCCTTGCTAGTGCTCTGTGAATACACTCTGGTGTCTCACAGATTAAAACACTGTTCTTGCAGAAACGATGGTGTGGTGAGAGAAAGGTAGATGGAAACAAGAAGTCTGAATATCATTTTGAAGTTATCTTGGAAAAAAAATTATCTTATTACTCTTGCTAAAATGGTTATTTGTAGCTGTGCTTCAGAAATGTAACATTCACCAAGTGAGTTTCAGGAAGCAGTATTTCCAGACAGTAAAAATAGATACCTACTGATGACAAGGGTAACTCCAGAGACACAGAGGTAGATTTTACATATGAATCAGCAGGGTACTCAGACCAGTAAGTTCTGGCTCACAGAAGACTTCTTTTTAAAATTGCAGGTCCAGCAGACTCAGACAGACAGGATTCTCTAGCTGAAGCTAGTGAGGAGTTTCAAGTGCCATGGTCAGGTGACTGCTCCTGTCAGCTCTTTTCATCTTCTTTAGAAATTATAGCCTGGATAAATGTATTTATAGGCTTCTAGAAAAGCTGTATCTTGTGTCTTTTTTAAAAGCTTATATCATTACAAGGTACATTTTATCTGTTATCAGGTGACCTTCCGACTTATGACCTAAGTTGCAGGTATAGAAATGATGGAGCAAGAATTCCAGGGGACTGGAAGTGGAGGAACAGAAGATTTCCAGGTATTTGATCACAAAGTTGTGTGTTCCCTTGGGCATATAGTGGCTGGCCATGTCTGCAGACATGCCAATACTGCTGTGAGCTGAAAGTCAGGGCAGGAAAACAAATGCCAATTCCCAAAGCTGACTTCATGATAAAAACAGTGTAGTTTTTGTCACGGAAGGCCACTTGCTGTGTAACAGTAATTTCAGCTCACCTGTATTCAGTGATTTCACCTGGTTGTATGATAGCATCCATGCTAGACTGGATCCTAAATCTAAAGAGGTACCATTAGAAAAGCATGGAGTCAGCCCGTACCCAGCTATACTTTCACTGGATTCGCAGTGCAGGATTCAGGACTGCATTGATATCTGCCGCATGGGCAGCTTTAGGACAGTATTTGACTTCCTCTGACACACTGTGCTTTCTGCCTTTCAGACTTACATCCCATCATGGCAGAGATTCAGAACCGTTCAGGTTCTTGTACTAGGAGTGCCTTTGAGGAGAGCTGCCTCAACCTGCCACAGTTTGTACAGCTCATGGAGACATTTGTTGGGGAAGACATTTCTCTCCCTGCTCTAAAGAGCCTTGTTGCATTTATCAAAGAAGAATACAAACAGACAGAAGAGGAAAAAATGGAACAACTAGAAAAAGTAAATATAATAAATGTCCAAACAAAAAACAAGCAGATGCCTGCAGTCACTGACAAAGTCAACTTCTAATCTCCTGGTAGAGCTATTCACTCTTTTTCTTCAAGAGACCTCTTACCCCTTTGTTTTCATATGGATCCTCCCTCCCTAGGCCTTAGCTCTAGAAGTGATGACAGACTCATCCTGTACGAGGTTGTCTGCCTGTTCCAGAGCTGGACTCAGTCACACAGAGGGTTGATAGGCAATTGGGAAAGAGCTCAAAACATTCCGTTCTGCTTATTCACCTTTATAATAGCCAAGAACCTGACCTCTGACCTACTGCACTGGCACGTACATGTGAGGTTGTGGATGTTCTGGGGAGGATTTTAAAACAAGTGTGTTTGGTTTCGCTATGTGCATGGCTGTACATGAATGTGCACGTGCTTCTTTGCGTTTAAGTTACAAGGTGCTTTTGCAATGTGTGGAAAAAATATACTCCCCTTCAGCAATATCCTCATGCACAGCATCAGGGTGCCCCATATCACTTCAGATACATTTTGTGGTGAGTCTGCCCATAGTAGCCTCTCTAGCTGCATTTTCCTCAAACCTCTTTCTAGTTTCCCTCTGTGCTGCTGACCTAATTTGGATGAGATATTGGATCTGACGGCTCCACTGTCCTCATGCTGAACACAACACACACTGCCAGTATTTTGGCCTTTGAGAGAATTCCATTCCAGCCATTTGTCACTGTGTGCTGTGCAAAGACTGCGTTTAAAGGACAAATTGTACATGCATTTGCTCGGAGCCCACGCACTTCAGTGCAGCACCAGCAAAGTAACAATGCATGGAAATATAAACTGTCATTTTTTTGGTGTTACTAACAAGGCTATGGTCAGTTCTTGCTGGGAAGACACTTATATTCTGGGCAACTTCCACTAACCTGAGTTGATCTCACCTTGGATCCAGCATAGGCTTTGTTTATTCCAAATATCCAAATAGATTCCAAATATCTCCCAGGTTTAATGATTCATCTCCAGGTCTGAGCTGTGTATGTACAGGTTTGGCCTGGCCCATAGGAATTCTGTGATCAGCATAGCACTGAACTTTCCATCCTTGTGTAGACACTGAGCATTAGTGTCCAGGAATTATCAAAGATGATAAAATTTTGTTTTCAACACATGGCAAAACACATGGCTGGTTTTCTGTTTGTAGGTTCATCGCATCTCTCGCTTGGCGCAACGGAAACTGCTTCTGGAGGCACTTTTCAACAAGTGGGACAAAAATGCATCTGGGTTTCTGTACCTGGAAGAGGTGGATGCTGTTCTAAGCACATTCAAGGAAGGGATGGAAAAAGAGGCCTTGAGGAAGGGTAAGGAGACAGCTGTGCTCTGAGAGAACAATGTCGACACAGGAGGCCTTAAACCATTCAGTGACAGTGTTAATGAAGTGGTTGGCAAGCACCAGTCATTTTTTGTTATTGCAAGCAGTCATAAGCATACAAGGGATGATGTATAAAATGAAAAGGAACAGTTATCCAGACCTACTTGTTAATGCATAGCTCCATCCTCTCCTGTGTGAGACTCCCTGGTGACTGATTCCCAGTCAGAGAGGTAGCCTAATGCTTTCATGACATTGTGATATGTTGAAAAATTATTTCAGTACACTTGTGATATGGTAGTGAAAAACACACGTAAAGCCTGAGGACACATTTTGCACTTTTAGTCTAGCCTGTCTGCATTATCCAGCTATTTTTAATAGATAGATTTTACTGTGCTATCTGCAGGAATGTATCTCATAGGAGAGAACACCAGCTTTCCTTATGTGTCTCAAATGGCCTTTCGTAATCCACACTATTGCACAGCTCTCATGAATTAGATCCCAACTTCAAGTCTCACTTCGCTGTTGGTTCATTTCTCTGAATAAACTTAGCAAATTTGGTCCTTGACAGAATAGACTTGGGTCAGGCAAAAGTGTTTCACCAGTCTGGTAGCCTCATACATATTAATACGCGGGCATTAAGTGCTCTGAAATACTGTATTAGCAATTAAGAACATGTCTGCATGTGTGCTTGGGTGGAGAAAACTGGTTTATTCATCTCCACACATATCTCCACATTGCTTGTTCTGCCACACATTACTGAAAATAGCTCATTTTGACAACCACCAAAATCTCGTTACCCTTTAGCTCACTTTGAGGCAGCTGCTGGGGTGGGGAGCGCACTGGCATGGTACAGATAATGGTCTCCAGGCTGCACAGCCACAGAAGAAACCTGGCCGTTTACAGCTCTCTCGTATTCAAAGCGTGTCAGAATGCACTACAGAAATATGGAAGGACATGGTCCCTTCCATGAAGGGCTCATAAACTAAAGGCCAAATAAATAGAAAGACAGCATAGAAAAATCAATGCCACCTACAAGCAATGTAAAACTATTTCTAGCAGCTTCAACCCAATCTCTCAAGGATATTGTGGAACAAGCAGATTTGGAGGAAAAGCTCACAGACACTGCACTCCTCCTGGATGAAAATACAGAGTGAAAAGTGGATAGAATTACTGGATTTTCCTTGTAAGTGAAAAGTGTAACATTACAGATATAATGGGGAAAATATTTCGTCACGCTGTGGCTCAGTAATGATGAAACTGATAATGCCATGCCCAAATTCCTGTGTATTTCTTTCTTCATCTCATTCTTCAAAGGGAGGAGAAAGTGGAGGTGAAAATCCAAATATTTTTATACCGTCAAAAAATTCCTGGTTCTGTCAGAAAATCTGAAATTAAATTAAAAAAACACTGAATGTTCTTTAGATGTTGGGCAGGATAAGACAGCATTAACAGTAACCTCCATCATGACTGGGGCCAGTGAGTACTTGCTACTTCTACAGCTAAAATCAGTGATAAAATGCCCCCCGACTTCTGGGGGGTTAGGAGGAGGCTCTCAGCTCCCATAAACATCCGTGTCTTGGGTGCACTGGGAGGCAATCAGGGCAGCTCCCTGCCTGTTCCTGCACATCGTTAATCAAAGCATTTTCTATTACATCGTTCCTTGTAGACCGCTGTGTGTATTGATCACAAATACTGCCTGCTTAGCAGCAAAGTCACACTTCTACCTATATATCTTTGCTTAGCTTGCTGGTAGGAAGCAACTTGACGAATAGCTCGCTCTACTCCTTGGGGTCCAACAGGATTTGAAATCAGGATGCAGAAAAAAAATGATGGAAGTGTTAGCTATTGTAATTCTCGGGGGGGCATTGCCAGCAGCGCGATCAGCCAAGCCCAGCTTGGGCAGAGCAGCCGGTGGAACCTGGGTTTCCAAGCCGGGAAGGTGCCTGCAGCTCCCCAAGGCTGTGCAAGAGCACCCCCGTGAGCCAGAGCTGGGGGAGCAGCAGCGGCTCTGGGAGAACGGGCACAAGGGCTGCACGGCTGATACACCGGCTGCTCATTTGAGTAACATCTGAAGAGAGACCGACGGGGTAAATTCACATTTTCACACGCAGGCTGTTCGGATGACAAGTCTGAGATGAGTCCCATTTGTCTGGGCAAATCGGAAGTTTGTGAAGTAGAGTGAGTAGATACAGGGAAGCGATTCTTGGGAATCATAATTTGACCCTCGTGGCATTCCTCATTCCTCCTTCCTCCAAACAAAAGCGAACTCTGCCAGACCTTTCTACTGCAGCTCATTTGCCCGTATTTGGGCCAGCTCAGCTGCAATCTCTGGGGTATGAAGAAGGGGACTGAGGCACGGCTCCACTTCCCAGCCTTGTGTAAGATGGGAAGGAGCAGCCTCCATGCAGTCGCCTTTTCTCCTTCACTCTTCCGGGAGCTGAGAGGCAGCAGTTCTCTGCTTTAGATGGTTTTCATACTAATTTATTCTTCTCAATCCTGTATTTCTTATTGCTCCTTTTGCTCCACCGCTACATCTCTTGGTGCAGCACAGGTGATCGCAGAGCACTGTTGTCCTGTCCTCTGTAGGACTTCAACAGAGCTTTCATTTTCTTTGCTCTTCGTTGATGAGATTTAGCACAATACAAATATTATTTCAATAATTCATCAAAGGTACCTAAAGAAGGATAATTAAGAATTACAGTTGCTTTGGTGGGCCCCAAAAGAACAATATAATGTCTGCAAGTATGGTATATAATGGAAAATCCAGGAACATGAGTGACCTGTGAAATCATCTGTAGACTCTGGCCTCAAGTCTCAAGTCTCAAGGTCTCACTCAGGTACTATTGCTGTATTCAGAATGTCCACCTGCAGCCCAGTCCTACCAGCCCCTCAAGTGGTTCTGATGCGGAGATTCCTCTGATTTTTGGTAAGTCCAAGCAGTTTTCCTATTTTCCATCGACCTTTATTGTTGAGGTATGTTGCAGAGGTATAAAAGTGGCATGGGAGCAATGCTGTGCACTTTTCTTTCTCAGTAGATGAGAAAGCAGGTGTCTAGAGGAATTTATTATTCAAATACATTGTCCCTGTCTTATTTTCTGTTTCTTTTGCTAGCAAAGGAACGCCTTTGCTCCTGTTACCCACAGCTCAGCAGAGTGGGGAAGCTCTCCCCAAAGGCATTCCAGACTTGCCTTGAGTTAGTTGCTTCTGAGCTCACTGGTGACGATGACGAAGTGATTGATAACTTGGTGGGATTTCTGACCACAAGTGTAGAACGGAGTCCCGCAGAGAGCCTGCAAAGCTTAGCCAGAAGGAAATGGCTGCACAACATCCAGCAAGCAGCTGAGACCAGCGGAGCAAGCATGGAGCCAGTTTACAAAGCAGTGTTTAAGGCCCTCTCCCAGGTACTCATCCCAGGGAGCACAGGAGATGTTCGTGTGGGGATTGTGACACTGGCTTCAACCCCTGGTGCATCTGAGTGGACCTCACAGGTAGCAGGGAAAGCTGCTCTGAGCCTGGTTTCCTTCTGCTCTCTGCACATAGCTGATGATCAGGAGAGCCCATGGTTGTGCACAGAAAGAGTCCCAGGCCAGGGCTGCAGTACAGGAATTCTTATCCATGCTCTGCCTACACAGAATGCATCTCATGGATATTTATGTCTCACTTTTTGAACAGCTGACTTAGAACAAATTTGGAAACCCACAGTTCTAGTTTTAGAGCTTCTGAAATGAAACACGGCACACTCAGTTTGGGACAAAGATGGTTAATTTGTAGTGGAGATACAGTTTAATTTTTAACTTGCAGCTGCAATTTTAGATGTTTGACCTCACCATTAAAGCCCTCCTCAAAGCAAAACTTCTCTCATAGTAGCTGAAGTGTTCTTACAATATTTAGGTTTGTAAATGTAGCAACTCTGGCATTTGTTTGTCTGATCTTTTCCGAGGGAAAACTGGAGAAGAAGTCCATAGGAGTTTTGCTTAGGCACAGTTTATAATTAGGGATTATTTTTCTATGAACTGCTCCCCATTAGCAGCAGGAAAAAAGAAATCCCTTTTCCTTGCCAATCAAAATACCAAGTGTTTTTGCTTGTAACGGAGCGTATTGGTCAGATGTGATCACAGCATAGACACATACACATCATGCATATAAAATCAGTGACCCAGAGCAGCATCTCATCAAAAAATGAGACAAGTGCTAAGTACATGAAATAAGTGTAAGGGCCAATGGCTAATGTACATAATGTAATGGGAAACATTTGGTTGCTAGGATGCAGAAGCCCATGGGGGTCACAAGAAGATCAGTGCATATATTGCCCTTTTGGAAGAGAACTGGCTCTCCCCAGAGCGGGGAGAGATTCTCCTACACTATGTGGCATGTACCGCAGATGATGCTCCATATGTCCTAAACCAGATACTTCACAAAGACATGAAAGGAGTAAGGTAAGAAAAGCTGCAAATAACTGTTCCTTTTTTCCCAAAATGTTTGGAATATAGGAGTACCAGGCAGTGTTTGGGGTGCACTGGAAACAGAGGTTGATGGAGTACTCCAGAGGGGAAATCTCCTCAGGGGCCGTTGTGAAATGATTCATTATTGTATCCATGCCCTTATCCTTTGCATGGTCTACTTAGAACTGCTTTGTTTGGGATTTTCCTCCTTTCCCTGGAGAGATTAGCTCACAGTCTAATAAATCTCATCCTTTAGCAAAAGTCTTTCATATTGGGCCTACATTTTCTTCTTTAAAAATTAATTCCCTTACACAGTTTACATCCACAGGATATTTTTTGAGAACAATGCCTTTCCTTCCCTAGTGTTCACACTATAAACAGCTTTCATGCCTCTTCACTTGTCATTTCCAAAAGCTAGACATATTTGTCTCTTTAAATATTGTGTCTCCTAGACTATTAAATGTAACTGCTGCTCATTTCTGTATTCTCTTTCATTACATTCATTAGCTGATGTTTTTAAAATGTCCTAAGGAAGAAAAGTGCCTTATTTATTACCAGTGTCTTTGGGATGCAAGTGGTAAGGGTGGTATTTCTGGGTGTGTCAGAGTAAGGAGCTAACACCTTCCTTCTCTGATGCCAGAATGCAGGGAGACACCAAAGCTGCAGTACTTATTACTTTGCTAAAGGTTTTCTGCTACTCTGAACAAACCTCCTCACAAGTTTATTTTTCAGCTTTGCAGCTGTAGAAGAGGGAAAGCCAATCCATGTTCCAAGAGTTCAGCTCCATGGAAATATCCACTTCTGGAACTACGACCGCCCAGTGCAGGAGAGAAAAGGTTCACTCCTGATACTGCCATTGCACGACACATTCTAGGACTTGACACTCTTCGGGACCAGTGTGAGAAAAGCATCTTTCTGAGCCATGAGATCTGCTTCTACCAGGTGGGCACCGTCAGAAAGCAGTTTGTTAGACCACTCTCCATAAACCTGTATAGGGACCATGTGAATTTCACACATTCATTCTGAGTAAGATGTACAACTAAGAAAAGAACTGTGGGCCCCTTTCAACTGTATATGGTAAAAGCGGTGTGAGCAGAACACCTTATCAGTATCTTACTGATTACCATCTTATCTGTAATTGATTATCAGGTATCACTTCATCAATGATTTATTTAAGCTTCTCCTGCCTAGTAAATTAATTGCACATTTGTGCAAAGCCCAAAGATACTAGCTTTTATTTCCTGAAGCTCTGGACCTCATATTGGTGTTAGTTTCTATAAAGTGGCATGAAACCTCACTTTTTATGTGGTGGAATAATTACAAGCAACAGCAGTCCGGATTTCTTTGGGATGCTCTTTAGAACCAGCTCTTTGTGGTTGCAACATCTGGGCAGCAGGGAGCGCAGCAAGCCAGCGTTCCCAGACAGTTTGGCTATCTCCACTAAAACCCGACTTTGTCTAGTCTAGGACTTGGCTGTGAACTGGGTACTCTGGAGTTTTGGAGCCTTATTTGATATGAACATTTCACAGTCACTTTTCAGCTTTACTAGTTCTTGTTAAAGTAACTTGTTACAACCATTTTGCTTCATTTTGCTGCATGAACGTTTCCCCAGCTTTTTCCCAAAATCACGTGGAGCTGTTTGGCTTATTTGGAGGATTCTGCTTTCACAGGGAGTTTCTCATGCATTCAGCAAAGCCTACCATCATGTTTCCAGCCTGGAAAATATTCTACAGATGACTCTTACTGCGCTGGACTGGTTGTATCCCAGGGCACCCAACATCCACACTGTTACTATGTACCTGGTGGAGCCTGACAAAGACAAGGTACGCAGATCACTGCCGTGGAAAGACCTGTAATAGCCAGGAGCTACTTCAGCATGGACCTGCCATTTCTAGCTGCTTGTGATTTCCCAGTGGTTTTGTCATAAAAACTGAAGCCTGTCTGAAATCCTTGTGCCTGCCTGTGCAACAAAAGGCTACAAAGGTAGAGAAGGAAGGTTCCCTCTGTAAAGGAGGCCACTCTTTTCATCCTCACATGTAAAACTATTCAATAGCACTGCTAGCATAGCCCTTTCGCCATGGGAAAAGGCAATATTCTCCTACTTCAATGCTCATAGCTGCGTAGCAAACAATAGAGCAAAATCCCACACTCCACCCAGCTACGCACCTCCAGGTTAGCCAACACTGCAAGCTGCTGCCAAAACTGCTGTTTGGGACCTCCATAGAGGGAGCTGCTCCTCTCTGAAGATTCTCCGTGTGTCCAAATTATGGTATTTTATAGAAAAAAAGAATGTCTTAGCTAATGTATTAGCTCTTCATCCTGAACTAATGTCAGCAGCCAAGACGTAGATAAAACTCAGGAAGTGGCTGCTCCCCATTAGCTAGTTTGCAAGGGCAGCCCCACTCCCTGCAGATCATATTCCAGTGGCTCAGCAGGCGCTCGGGCCCTGGGAAACTTGTCACTTCACATACAAGTGAGTTAAGAAGATGAAAAGTGTATGCAATATTTAGGACTGGTCCTGTGTCATCACAAAGGCTGTATGACATCTGCTGTAGCCATAATTCAGCTGCTTCCTCTGATAAGCATGGTTTATGTTGGCAGTTTTCTGTTGTCATTCCAGGCTCTGCGCTGTTCCCTCGTTAGCTGCCTGATAGCCAGGTCATTCGCTCCCCTCTGTGCCGTTCACGTGTCAAGGCACACTGACACAAACATGACATGAGAAAGGGGCCTGCAAGAGGATGGGAAAAAGAAGGGAAACCTCTTCTTGACCTGTGGGTGTTCCTCAGCATGGAGCCTGGAGCAGAATTAAATAGCCTCACTGAGGGAGGTCCAGGGCACGTTCTTCATACATCTTGAGCAATACTCTCTGGGAATAAAACCAGGCATTGTTGGGAGATGTCTTTAAACTGCCCCATTGCACTTGAACGTACATAGGAGTTTCCTTTTAGAAATAAAAATTTTCCTCCCTTTGCAAGCTTCAAAATGCCTATCCCTTTCTTGGATGCAGCTACACCTCCCTTTTCTCTCTGGCAGACATGGGACTACGCTCTGCGCAAGATGATTACTACAGATAATACAGGACAAAAAGAAATTTGTAGCTCTCCTGTTCTTCTCCTCAGAAAAGAAAACCCCTTAAGGTAGGCTCCCACACCTGCAATCGAACCAGTCACCTCTGCTCCTAGACCCCAGCCTGCACCTGGCATGATCCACGTTAGATAAAGCCCATGGTAAAGCAACCCTGCAAGAGTGTCTGGCTGGAGCTCTCTCGCTATTAATGGCGCGTATGTATGCGATACTGAATTACGAAGGGGTGAGGAGTATTTTCTCTTTGTATTTAGGCCTGCAAAAATATAACTTACGACTTAATGCTTACCAGCTGAGTTGCCAAGCAAGCTCTACATCTGCTGTGAAAGGTTTGCAGGATTAGAGCATACACTGAACTGTTTTGCTCTTTACAATACTCTGTCTTTTTTTTCCTGGCCATATTAATCTCATTTCCTTCAACTATCTGTTTCTTTCCACTGCCAAGAGCCTCACAGTCTTGTCTTTTAACCATATCATCCTTGTTGTCAAAGTTGGTTGACCAACCATTTGCTGTTCCAGCAGATGTTTTAGTTTTTATAAAACTATAGAACAAATGTCCACACAGTTATAAACAGGAAACCGTTTTTAAAGCAAGACTACAACCTAATTTGTGTTTGTTAAATTCTTATTATTTTTGGCAATTGCCTTGGCTAAGCAATATTGTGTTCCACAATGCTATTTTCTCCTTTTTGTATATGGTGTGAATGATACTTAAAGCTGTGCACATTTCAGTTCAAGGAAATAAACAGTGATTTAGTAATGTAACATCTTTGTTTTAACAACAAGAGATGAATGGCATCTTACTAAAATATGCTAATTAAATCACCGAAAGAAAACAGAATGGTAAATTCTAGTACATTTTCCTCTCTCTACTCTCATTTCAGATATTACCTATTTAAGTGCACAGACAGTTCACAGGTCATTTACACTTCTGTCTATGGAGAATACCACATTGCAGTACCTCTCCGTGACTTATCAGGACAAGCTCTTGGCATATTGGATATCAGCATCGGACACAACCAGAAATTACCACCTCATGAACACAGAGACCTACAGAAAATGCTAAAGATGGCCCAAGCTGCCTGCTCTGAGATACTGAAGAAGCCTTTAGATGAAACAGAAACAACCTATGTACTGGGTATTGCACATACAGCGCCAAGATAGGTTTTTTAGGGGTGAAATCTCAGTAAAACCACATCTAAAGTATCATTCCTACAAGTATGGCAAGACAAATACAAACATTCGGTACATGGAAAATACTCCTGAGCAACCATAAGTGCTTAGCAGAGCACAGTTAAACAGAATGTTTAGATTTTGCCTCTGGTTCACAGGGTATTTTGTGCCCAAGTCCCACTGAAATCAAAAGTGCGATGCAAGGTGCTTTGTTGCCTTCAGGGATCCAGCATGATCCAGCTAAGATCAAAAGAATTTGAATGTCGCAGTTGCAGAATTACCTGTGTGCCTGAACCCTTCCTGGTCTCAGGACATCTGCTTGCCCCTGATGCAAGTTTTGTCTCCTTCTCAAGCACATACCCATTTTTAAGTTTCATAGGCTACTTGGGCTGTATACAAATCAGTCAGTCAAGGAGACAAAGAGTTAATTAGAGGGCAGAGCCTTTCAGTCAATAACATAAGTTTTGAGTTAAAGATGTGTCTGGGCAACTTCTTGAAAGGTTTGCTTTTGATTCCAGAGGCAGAACACGTGGCAAATTTGAGGCACGCAGGGATTCTGTTCCACTGGTTCATGCTGCAGGACCTGCGCAAGTGTGTCCAGAAACTCGATGCTGAGAGCTTTGCTGGAATAAAGAGCTATGCAGAATTGCCAGCTCTGATACACAACATAGTTAAGGCTGTGCTGTTGCTATTCCATCCAGACTGGAAGGGCTCAGAGAAGATTGAGAACTGGAGTCAGTGTAAACTGGTGAGACTTCAAAATATTGAGACTTTTGTTCTGTTCTTCCTTCCCTCAAGAAGATACAGAGGAATTTGCCAAGGGCAAATTGGCAGTGAAATAATTCATTACTGACAGATTTCCTATCTGGTTGTCTTGGCCACCTTTAATTCTGTAACTCTTTTTAAAATTTTTCACCACCACCTGACTCTTTTTTTGTTCTCTGCATTGCAGAATCTTGATGACAATTTGATTCAGGAGATTTATTGCTTTGATCCAACTGCTGCAGCTGTGCAAGTTCAAACAGAGCTGCTGCTGGACTGCCTCACTGGTAAATATCATAAACTAATTGTGAGATTACCAGACAGCAATGAAACAGTGTCAGTGGCAACCTTCAGCTGAGTGCTTTTGAGGTCCTTACTTCAGAAATTAACTCTGATTTCACAATAGATTAAACAACAGATAAGGGGTCCTAAATATCTGCAGTCTTTTTTGGTCAAAAGTGAACCTGTTAAATTTAGAATCAAAATTCACTACCTTAAGGAAAGGGGAGCAGATCAGCTTTGAGGCGTACCAGAACAAGTGATCTCACTGTAAAACCCCAGATAAACATATTAAGAATGATGGTTCTTTTGGCAAGCAAATCTACCTCAGACCACCCTGCCCTGCCCGAGGGACTGACCCAGCTCCAAACAGCAACACGATTGTGGGAGGACAGTGTGAGCTCTCCTCTTTGTAAACACCATCTGCCAGGTACTTAATACACTCACTGGCCATATATGCGAGCTGGGTTTCAGTCTGTCATTCTCTCCTGTAATGAATGTGAGCTTTTTTGGTGCCAGAGCAGTCAAGAGGTTATTATTATTTGCAACATCTCTGCAAGAGAAATGACTGTTGTTCTTGTTGAGATCTCTCCCTTGACGATGTAATGCCAGACTGAGAGGCCTGTTAAAAATCAAATGTGGACAAGACTTGTTAATTTAGCTGGGGATATTATCAACAGTACTCTGCCCACTGATGAACAGTGAACACTTAATGCGGTCATAGCTCCTTTTCATGTGTTCTTTTCGTATATATTAAACTAATTTACTGGAAAGAACGAAATGGGCCTAGAGCATCCAGTCTTCCTCCAGTTAAGAACACAGATGTAACTAGAAAGAATACAAATACAATACTCTGGCAAACTGCTGGTACACTACAAAAGGTTGGTTTTGGATAGGATTTATTCCGAGAGAGTAGTGTGAGACCGGTGGTGTGAATACAGGTGTAACTCGCAATTACAGGAATTCCATAGGAGTTCTCGTGGCAACACCAGTCACAGTTTTGACTTGGCTTTTGGAGTTACCG